ATGGAGGCATCAAAACTCCTAACCAAGCACATGTCCTCTCTGTCTTCTAGCAGATACAGAGGAGTAACATCATCAAGGGGGGCGCACGGGGGAACATAAATTCAAGGGAATAAAAATATACTTTTGACACACCCAGACAGTGATGGCATTCTACCACCGTACTAATCTCTGTCTTTCCTAAAAAGTGTTAGAGAGAAAATCTACCTTAGGCAGAGCAGCAATAAGGGACAGGGGCCAGAAAGATCTTTACTGCCAACCAGCCTGGAATTCTGCAGGCCCAGGGGAGCAGCCTCAAACACAGTCATGAATCTTTAACCAGAAACAGCACTTGCTACAAGATAATTATCAGGCAGCCAGCGAAACCTGCCGAACACATGTCATTTCTGAACTATTTCAAATAACCTATTCTGCTCTCTAAGCTACCATCACCCCGTATTTGGTAGGCAAAACAAGTAACGTGCTCCCAGTGACAGCGCGGCAGGCTGCAGCGCAGAGGGGCTCTGCTCTGCTGTAGGAGCAGGGCAAGGAAAAGCCACGTGCTCTTTCACACAGCGTTTTAGCTGGGATGTGGAGGGCACAGAAAGGGGGACACCAGCCCAGGCTCCGCGATCCACAGTCTGACATCATGGGAACAGGCAGCTCTCCCCGCCGAGGCAGCAATCCCAGGTTTTGGAGCACGCCGAGGCCTCGCAGGAGCTCTGCTGAGGCTCGCAGTGTTGCAGCCCATCTCACAAGATGCTGTCTGGTGTTTGCTCACTGATTTCTGCCTCCTCTATAAAGCAGTGGCTCCAGTATATTCAGTGTGCGGGCACTTTTTTTAAAAAAAAGTGCTGGTGTGCTGCTGTGCGGAGTTCAAACAGCGGTAGCGTGGGCAGTCCCTGCCATCTCATCACACTGCACGGAACAGCACACAGGGAACCACTTAAAAATACTTATTAGACTTGTGTTATTGCTAGAACTTCAGATATATTAAAGTGGCTTTTTACTTCCTCAAGAGTTACTACTTTTCCTGGCTTTTGAATTTTTAAATCCAGGAGTCACCTTAACCAAACCATACAAAGTGTCTTGTGTACAGCAAAGTGGGGATTAAGTTATAAGGACAATGTTTCTCAGAAAATTCTCTCTCTCACAGCAGAAATGGCATGTTTATATAAAGGATCCCTGCCCACAGGGATCTCTGAGCATAAAAAACGCTGCATTCTCTCATTCCATTTCCCAACCACACAAAACAAGGTATGTACAGTTACACCCTCCAGGCTTCGCAGATGTTTTCCTACACCTGGCCTAACTGCTCCGGAAAAAAAAAAAAAGAAAAAGGCAGAATAGCCCTGTGTTCTCCTGCGATTACAGTTAGAAACTGTTCCTCACCTCCTTTCTTCCTAACACTTGCCCTCTTATGGAACATTACACTTTCCACCACTGAAGTAGTCACTTTGCTCCCTCAATATGCCCCCGTACTCATGCACTCAACTTTAGTAACCTATTTAGCATTTACTAACAGCTTCTCACGGCAATGTTTTGATATTAAATGGCAATACATAAAATAAAAACGCCTTCTTCTCTGAAATGCAGCATGAGGAACAGTGTAAACAAACAAAACTTCTCAGCTTTTCAAATTCCATTTTGCTGGAGCATATGTGCTTCATGAGATGCTTTGGCAGGACATGCTCAGATTTTCCAGCTGTGCCCATGTTTTCAGGTCAGCTCCTTAAACAGAAAATGTTTTTCCTTTCCAGTGGGTGGAAGAGCACAAAGAGCAGAGTCAGGGATGTAACAATTCCTCATTATAAGAGGCACCGACACAGCCAGTACTAACTGGCACCAATCTCCATAGAAATGCCATGTACTGGAAGGATAAAGCAAATGAGTTATTATCCTTTAGCCGCAGGGGAAGCCTTCCCAGGCCCAGGGAACAATGTGCGCGGGGCTGCATTGCTGCTCCTGCCGTTCCCCTGCTATGGCTACAGCCGCGTTTCTCAGCATTCATTCCCTGCCTGCCTTCCCTCCAAGATACAGCTTGTACATTAACCCTCACTCGCAGTTTGAAAAGCAGCTGGTGACACAGGGGCTGCTTCAGTCGAGCGGCCGGGTGACCCTTTGGTCCCGTTACCTCAGTTTTTCTGCCTCTGCAACCAACTGAAGTCTCAGAAGAGCTTCAGCCCCATGGCCGCTGCAGCTCCTTCTTTCTGGCTGCCTAATCCATCCCTGGGACGTGCCCCAGGCTGGTGTCTGCAGCCTTTCAATGAACATATTTTGAGCACTGCCAGGCTAAAGAGCTCAAATTCTTTATGTTATCAGCAAAATAATTGACAATATATAAAATCAGGAAAAAAAAAAAGCTTTACAACACAGTTAAATATAGAAATTGCTGTCCTTCCCTAGCGCTCTTTCTTCCTCATTCAATAAAGGGCAACCCTCAAACACAAGTACTCGGCATCACCCTGAAGACAGCTGTGGCCACAGCCCCTCATGGCCCAAAACGAGGACCAGAGAAACAGCCACCCAGCTCTGCTGTCCTGCAAAGCGAGGTGCTGTGGCAACACCCACAGTTTTCCCCAGAGGTTTTGCACAGCTTCTCCCACCCCTCTCAGGCACACGGGGCCTTGCAAACAAGCCACAGAGCTCCCAGTGCCCTTTCAAAGTATCGTTTATCTGAGCAGAACTCTGCAACCACTTCTCGTTTGCACTCAGCAAATCCCTCGGGAACTGACAGTAACCACAGTGCACTCTCCTAGCCGACAGATCAACCCCCAGACCTGTCAGGAGGCAGCCTGGCACGGGATGAATCACAGATGTTTATGGGAACTAAACTGCCCGGCCTAATGTGCGCTCGCTGGTGCGAGGGGGCAGAGCGATGCCCGAGCAGCTCCGCACACTCACCGGCCTCAGACACACCAGGATTTGGCAGTTTTCTTGTTGCTGAAAGGGAACGAAGGCAGAGCACTGAGCGGGGCTAAGCTAATTAAAATGGAGGCTCTGCTGGACCAGTTTCCTTCACCCCTCAGGCCTGAAGCCACAAGCTCAGGATTCTTCCGTGGCCTCCTGCAATTTAAACCGGGGTAGATTGTGGCAGTGGTTAGAGGAGAGAAGCCAGGGAGCTAAAGACTAAGTAAGCGGAACTCTGTCCTTTGAGCCTATTCTAACCATACAGTGTAACGGGGACAATAACACTGAAAAGGATTAAAAAGACCTAAGGCCCTAAATCATCTGGGCAGGAGACAGTGATGGGATAAGCAGCTGCATTTCACTGAGAAGTCTCTGGACTAAACACAACAGAGCTGTGCAGGGAGATGCAAGCTGGCAAGAAAACAACTGGGCGTAATGTTTGTGATTCAAAGTACTAACAGGAGATTTACAGACAGCAAAAGAGTGAGAGGTGGCATCGGTGGGAAGCTACTGACTACAGAAAGTCAGATGAAGGATGTTCTTTGCTTACTGTACACACTCTATCCTCTCTAAAAAGTGTTTTTTTCCGTTAGATTCTCCCTGTCAGGCCTTTGGCACTGAGACTTGCCTGATCAGTGCGGGTTACATAACTTAGAGGCCATCTCCCTCTCCTCCCTTCTTGGCATATAACTTTAGGCACTTTTTACTTCACTGATTTTGGTTCTCAGGCAATAAAAATGCAGCAGCATGTTTTAATTAGTATGGGAGGGAGATACAACTGTCCCTGCTTCTAAACCCAGAGAAGTATAAAGCTTTGCCAGGCAGAGGCTGCAACCAGGTGGAGCCAGAAAGTTAAGGTGGGAGGAGATAAAAGGAATCTGGCCTTGCCCTCTGGCATCAGAAGAAACATGGAAGGATGGAGCGTTAGTAGAGAGCTTTGTTTCGTGTAGCAGTGAGGACCAAATCGGATGGTAGGAGAAGGGGATGAAGCAGGAGCTGTGCCAGGCTCGGGAAGCAGGCAGGGGGAAATCAGAAGGGGCGGGTGGGAAATACCTGGTAGGTGGCAATAAATTCAGGCAACGTCCTCCAAAGAGGATGAGTTGGCTGGAGACAAGATACCGGAGGACACATACCCTGAAATCAAGCCTAATTCTGTTTCAACAGCCTTGGTTCACTTTCTATTTTTTACCACTTCTTACAGCAGCATCCCACCAAAAGAAGGGGAGCTTTGAGGCAAGAATATGTTTATAAACTTATCACATATATGCTACTATATTCAGTTACAGTGACTCTTAAGTCCCAAATGAAGACAGTGGAAATTTCTGCTTAAAAACAGACACCATGATTAAACTGTTAAGTCTTTACAGCACATGTCCTTGTTACTGTTTTCTAAGAATATTTAACAGCCTGAGCTAGCTTGTTGACAGGCTTCTTGCCTGGAAAGAGATCGCATTTTGCTTGCTTGGGGCAGAAACAGCACAGAGAATGAATCCAAACACAGCTTTCCATCCCAACCAAACTGACTGCATATAACTGAGATGGTTGGTACATTTGTTTACAATTTGTGTTTAGTTATAACCTGTGCAATGCGTAAAACCAGTCAACTCCGTGGCCTTGATCCTGTTCCCATTCAAGCCGGTGAGATCTCGGCTATTGGCTTATATGGGATCATTGACAGAACAGGACTGGAGCCAGAGCTGCCCTGCATGTAGTTTTATTTAAGCAACACTCACTTCTTCGGAAAGTGGCTTTGGCTCTGTATTCTGCTCCTTTGCGCTGAGGTCAGAGGTATTTGACCTGCCCAGTGAAAGCCTGAACTGGAGATGCAGGGCCAGAAAAGGATGTGGTCTCCAAGAGGGCTACAACACTTCTGTAAAACCCTGTAATCATTGACTTTGTGTTTGCAATTGCAGATGCAGGCTGGCCAGCATACAGTAGGAAGGGAACACGGGTTTATAAGAGAGACGCCTCCCAAGGCGTTCTCGGCCAGGCAGCTCCCTCCCGCGCGACATCGCGCGCTGCTTTGCGGCACAGGGCTTCCAAGCAGGATGGTCCTGCTTGTGGCCCTGCTCTCCTGCTTGCAGGTGCGCTCACCGGCGGGAGGGCTACGTGCTCAGTCTCTATCGCATCCGCAGCGCCCGAGAACAACCTCAGGTAAGTTACCTGCTGGATCTGCCCCGGCTCCTCCAGCAAAGGGCCCCGTGTCCATCACTGTTCCTGACAACAGGGGTTTGAACTAAGAAATATTTTAAAAGGAAAATGTAAATTTACATTTCACAGGACCCCAGGGGCCATGTCAACTTTACACACAGCTGACTAGAAACAGTTTCATCACCACTGCGGGCAATTAGAGAGCAAAGCTCAGGCACGATTCTCTGCTGCCTTCCCCTGGAACAGCTCCAGGCATCAGCACAAATCCAGTATGAAGCTCTAGTACTCTGATTTAATTTAATTTTACACCTTCCTCCCACTGCCTTGAACAGTTGGAGTGCAAAGGCTATTAAGTCACTGTGCATTTTGCACAGAAGATGTGAACACTAAAAGGTGCAGACAAGGCCAGCTTGAGACCAGGGAATGTCGCTACTTCCTGCTCCTTTCACGAGGACATAATTTCTGCAGCTATGCGACTTCCAGAAGCCGGAGATGTCACCACTGGACGTGCACAGACACTTTGCTGCGCTTTGCACTGTGTTCTCTGTTCTGCTTTGCTCAGGTGGCAGACTGTGCCCACAACCGCATCAGTTACCCTGGGAATAATAATATCACACGGGATGCCCCTGGCTTGGCCTGGAACCTGTGGTACCAGTTACGGTGCTGGGGCACTAGACGTCAGGCAACTAGTCCAATTCCCAACCGGCCCTGTGACCTCCAGCCAAACCACGGGCCTTCAGGGGACAATTTCGACTGGAAAACACCCAGAGCAGCCCAGTGGCTACCTAGGCCAGGCATGGTGGGTGCAGACACGCTATGAAGCACTTAATGCCTGCCCCCACTCCTGCCTTCACCTGTGACAAGTGTATCTCAGCACAGGAGACTGCTGCTCCCTGTCTGGGATATGGCCTGGCGCTTATTTCCCCAGAGGCTTTCATTGCTTTCTTTAGGGCATACTTGGCTTTTGATTGCTTATGTTTATTGATTCTTCTTAGTATTTTTGTGCATGAACTAACACGCTTATCCCATAAATAAAGTGCTTCAAGACACTGTGTAATAACACACCTGACCATGTAGGCTCTTCATTGCATTTTTGGAAGAGAACACAGAACCAGCAGTCAGTTGTGTCAGGGATATTCACAGCTGGTGGTAATGTCTTCTGCAGCCTTCTGATCTTCAAAAATAAATCAAGAAATCAATATTTTTTCATCAGTCAGTAGACTCTCCTCCCATATTTTTAACCAACTCTTAATATAAAAACATTTTCAAAATTTCAATTGCCCTTAAGCAACTTGTGGCTTAATTTTGCTCTAATAGAAACTAATGAGCCATTTGCCATTAACTCATATGCAAGTAGGACAGAGCTTTTCTTTCATGGGAGATACTCAGGATCATCTTCACTGACAACCATTTAAGAAAAATTAGAGTTCGCACAAAAATATTTATTCTTTTCTTTCCCTTGCAGCAGGGTGACCCTCCACATGCTCTTCTGGTGCCAAATCCCTCCTGGCTGCAAGGCTTGCACTGCACTGGCACTACTAGCATCAGCAGCACTGAGGAGGGGATCTTTTTGTCAGCAAAGAAAACAGATATGTTTTTATTCAATGCTAAGCAGATATCAAAAGACCCTGGTGTAATGGTCTTTTTATGAAAATTAAAATAAGGACAAGGAAACCTTCAGAGATCTGCTGAGCTCTGAATAAAGCCCAAATTACCCTTTCCGCAGTGGAGGGTGATGCATACAGAAGCAGGTAGACAAAAAAATAAGTGTTGATTTTATAATAACCTCATCTGTGTATTACAGCTGGCATTGTAAAAGTGCTATAGGCAACTGAAAATACAGAGCCTGGTAGCATTTAATATTTCCAGGACTACTGAGCTTTTCATTTGGTCTTCACGATTCAGCTGAGTAAACCCATCCAACATCAAACACATTTGATCATAAGAATATTTCTTTAATGTGAGATGTGTGTTTTTGCCTCTGGAATTCCCAAATGACCAACTTGAAAGCTCAAGTAAGCAATCCTAACTTTGGAATTCCTTAAAGATAGGCACTTTTCCTGGCTATTAATTGTTCATGTAGGATAGTCTTACTAATGCCTTTTCTCAGAGAGGAAATAATTAGAATTACAAGCCAGTACCGCATGCTGCACAACTCAAAAAGCACTTAAATTTGCAGAAAATGGCCAAAACTCTTGGATCACTCCTGCTTTCTGTTTACTGATCTAAACTATACTAGCTACCATTTTAAGGAGACAGAACACCGTGGTATTCAGCAAGGCTGCATGCAAGCAGAACATTACAACTATTTCCTTCCACCAAAGGATCTAGACAGCCAGGTGTGAGGCCGCTGAGACGCATCGTGCTGCTGCACCTTCGTTCTTTGGCAAAACAGGTCTTGGTCTTTTCAAGACCTTGAAAACAGCACATATAACCAAACTTCAGGATTGAGTGCCAGGCTTTACTTCATAGAGCACTTACTTAGAAAAAGGAAGATAACAAAACACGGTAAAAGGCTTAAGACATGCCAAGTACATGTGTGATACTACAGCTAGAGAAAAAGTTTACAAAGCAGTCTACTCACTCATTATAATTCTTCCTCTCCTTTTAGTATTTAAAGAGTTTACCGATACATTTAAATACTTTATATATACATTAGAGTTCACATATAAAATCACCATCCCAGTCTCTCTTCAGAGAAAATCTCCATATTGTTAGACCACAACAGTTTACATCACTCAGTTTCCTCACAATTCACGAACAGAAGCCTCAAACGTTCAAAAAATACTATGGATCCTGGACTCACATTTCTATGAGTTTCTATTTTTTTCCATAAACCAGTGAAATGAACTGGGAGTGAAGAAATGCTCCTCTCATTGAGCTCTGCCTTTGCTCTCTCTTTAGCAGCAGCATCTCAGTCGAAACAGGCAGCTAACAGCCATGTGCAAGTTCTTTAGCCTGTATAAATGCTGGAGATGACAGCTGCTCCCTTTCCAGCTCTTCAATGCAGTAAATAAAACATGAGCCTCAAAAGTTGTATCCCTAATAAGCACCCTGCAACAGAGCTTGCCTGTTACATATCATTTGATATATAATATTTCCCTGTCCCCCTCCCATGGGAACACAGCTGCCCAGATGTTAAGCCCTAACTGCTTTTTGTCCATACCCTGCAGAGGATTCAGTTAAGGTTTCAGAACTTAAGAACTGGACTGAAGCTTTAAGGGAGCCAGACCATCTTGGTCTTTATTCCCAGCTTCTGGCTGGTACCAGAATCAAAAGGCTAAAACTATTTCCAAAAGGCTGTTCTTAAATCAAATGTAGCTAGATGTGTAACCAGGCCTGTTTTAACAGGACTTGATCTGACAGATCTGATTTGCCACAGTTGAAAATTCATCCTGCAGAATGTTTAACTTTAGCATATTTGTATATCCTACCTGCACAGTCTGTTTCTCCACCTCTCTCTTCCATTCTGTACAAAATTGGCATCTAATCCCTCCCTTTTTTTGTGTTTAGGAAATCACTGGTTCTGTCTTCTATCTCATCTTGGATGTAGTAGATACCAACTGCCATGTCCTCAGCAAGAAGCTGTGGAAGGATTGTGAAACCAGACCTACTCACGAAACTGTGAGGGCTTTATTTTCATATTTAATCTCAGGGATGAGAGTTACTCAGGTATTACTGAAGACAGCAAAATCTCTACAAATGTAGAGATTTTTGTAGGCAGCAGGGCTTAGTTAAAAAGAAATCAGAATCCATTTTCTAAGGTTCACAATTTTCAACTGTACTTTTCTTATCAGTCTATAGAATGGTAAGATGTATTTAAAAAAATGAAAAGAGAGTTTTTGACCAGAGCTAATCAACAGGCATGGATAAATAGCTCTGCTAGAGCACTATTTAGAATCCACAGTCTACTTCTTACAGCAACTCTGCGAGAGTTTATTTTAAAGACAGCTTGTCAAAAATGGAATAAAAGAAACTCATTTTTATATAAGAGGTGACCTTTAGTTTAGTTTAACTCTACTTTTATTCTGACAGCTTTGCAAAAATAGTACTGAGAGAAGAAAGAAAACCCAGCAACATACGTGTCAAAGATAGAAAGTGACTTAAGCCTGCTGCTACAGGTGTCCAAAATGACTCTGAGCAAGTAAAAATAACTTTTAAAATGCAGACTGTCTGGAAAGAAGTTTTGCATATGCAATAAAAACCCAAAAGGTGTATGATTAATTTGACCCTTCCTGCTTCTTAGGTCAATCTCCTGAAAGCAAAAATGAAAAAAAAAAAAAAAAAAAAAAAAAAAAAAAAAAAAGTTAATTTCTAATTACAGCACTTTTAGCAGGGAAAGGGCCCAAAGAAAGCTTGACCAGTCCCTTTCACTCCTTTGGAAGGTTGGTTCTATGAACCCCAGAAATGTCCTAGAAGCCTTGATCCTCCAGCTGGCAATATTTAAGATACCCTCAGAGCACACAAATTTAACTTTTAAACACAGAGGCACGATGACTATTTTTTGTGCCATGAAGTCTGAGTTTCCCTGTGGCTGAGCGTGATCTTACACTGCAACAGTCGATTTAGGGCCTTTCATGTCATTCTCCTTCCTCGCTATGCACACAGGAAAGAAGGAAAAGCTGGAATCCAGGTGACTGGCTCCAGGCACACCAGGCTGATGTCCAGCAGCAGTTTAAGCTGCCTCAGCTCCATGTACCCACCAGCTCCCAGAGCAGGGGGTTGGCCAGGGACAACAACCTGTGACACTCGAGCAGTTCTTAGCTGCCACAAAAGTGGATCTGGAGACACTAACCTGTAGACAAGCACTGCACAACTAGTACTAAGAATTATGCAGGAGTACACCCAGGGAGGATCTGGCCTCCTATTTATTTCTATGGGGTCTATTTAGAAGAGAAACGTGCTTCATTCCCACTTGAATATTAAGACAATTTTTTGTTGTGCAGAATTTCATGACTGTAAGAAGAAGAACAGTGATTCACTGGTACTAGGCAGTCACTGCAAGGCTGCAAAATTAATTGTTCCTACATGTTTATATTGTTTTAGGCTTATGGTCAATGTAAAGCAATTATCTACATTAATCAGCCAAGGAATATTGCCCATCTGAGTACTTACGAGTGTGTTTTACAACCAGGTAAGTCTTTATTCGACACACTTTAAAAGAGAACTGAAATAAAACCCTGTTTGCCATTACTTTAATTTTTAATTGTAATAATAGCACCACCATGTCTTCATTCACTTTCAGCTGCCCTAATTTCCTCAGGTCATTGATCATATGGATCAATGCAACACCGCGCAGGGCCGAGAATAACTTTGTTCTTATCTCATCTCATCTCTCTGCTGGGAAACGCAGCAGAGCCTCTGTCTAGGTTTTTGCCATCTGGTCCAAAAAGTATTTTACAGGTTTGTGAAAGACAAATTAAGAAGAGCAAGCAGACTGTCAGCAAGCTGAACTTTTCAATGCAGTGTGTCTGCCTCCAATACAACATTTCTAAGGATCTTCAGATTCAGGAAGATTGAAAATCACTCAAACCATATAATGTTATTTTACGGTCTGGAGTGCGAGGGAGCTGGGCTGGGAGGCAAAAATGTATTTATGTGACAGTTCAGTGACTATGTGGATGGCAATCGTATCTGTATTCAATATTGTTTTAACATAATTATGCCAAAAGTTTAGGGTATGTATAACAACTAGAGACACAAAGACATAAATAAGAAATAGATGCAGAATCTTCCCCACAGTGTCAACAAGCTCTCATGGTTCCGAACACTTCTCACTAGTGACACTGTTTTGTTTGAAAAAAAGTTCAACGCAGATATATTCGGGCAATGTGTCCTGACTGCCCGGTTGATGACTGTCCAACTGAGCCCAAATATTTGGAGGTTGCTGCTCAAAGCCTTGCCAAGTTCAATGAAGAAAGTGAACAGACTCATTATTTCTCTGTCCTCAATGTCACAAAAGCTTCAATGCAGGTAAGTGAAGAACCACCTCAATCATTGTTTACCGATAGCAATATCCAGTCTCTCTAAAAGTCATTAAATACAGCAAGTCAAGTTGCTGTTCACTTTCTGTCTCAAAGTGTTCCATAGTACTACAATGCAGTATTTAACTGTTCCCATCTTCCAACCCAACGATACTTGCCTCACAGCAATGGAAAAGCAATGAAGCAGCCTGAAATGTTCAACTAGTCACTAATGAGGACCTTTAAATATATAGTTCTACACAGATGGTAAATTTTTACAAAAAAAAATAGTTTCAACTACAGCTAATTGATGAGTTATTAGGATTGTGCAAATATAGGCAGTAGAAAATAATCAAAAGAATATTCTCTGTAATACAAAGCGCAGAGCTATCCCATCTAAAACCTGCTCCTACAGTAAGCAGGACCCTCCATTCATTTTAACTCTGTCAGATTTTTTCCTCTTCCTGACAAATGCACAAGCGCTAATTGTCACTGGTCTCTCATTAACAGTGGGTCATTGGTCCTGCACATTTTGTAGAGTTTACCATTCAGGAGACATCCTGCTCCAAATCTGATTCTGTCACTGACATCTCTCAGTGTCAGCCTCTCTCACCTGAATCAGCTGTAAGTATTAACACCTACTGTATTAACACCTATTTTGCAGATGCAGATTTCTTTGCAGATTCCTCAGTGAACACTTAGCCTATCTCCTTTGGTTCTTTGCAAACAAGAATCAAAAGAGACTGTTGCTCTATATGGACTGCAAATGTACAAACTGCCTTGGAACAAATGAAGCATTTTAGATAAAGCTCTGAAGCTGTCAAAAGAGCTGTTGCTCTATATGGACTGTAAATGTAGAAACTGCCTTGGAACAATGAAGCATTTTAGATAAAGCTCTGAATTCTTGTCCAAAAGTCCATGAACAAAGAAAACACACAAAAATTCCATCCAGAAAATGGTGGTAGCTACTGCTTTATAAAAATGAATACTTCTTAAGGATTTCCTTTGTGTAAACAGATGCAGACAAGAATTGTAAACATGGCATTAGAAGACAGTCACACTGTGATCCAGTCAGCTATAGAAAATATTTAGGAATTATGAGGAAAAAACCTATGAGAGGAGCTGAAAGACTAACTGAACACACTGCTCAGAGACTCCATCTCCTTAAGTCCCATCTTCACTGGGATCGGAGCCATGTTACCTCCAGAGCCTGGTAAATACACAGCTGTTAGTAGCAACAAACATTTTCACACCATACTAGTTGTATAACTGGAATGGTGTGAAAATGTTTTCCCCTGTGAACGCATATTATGTTCTCTTACAGACCTTACCTGCATACAGTGTTATCTGTCATAGCTGGACTTTCAGCAGCCAGCTTATTCTCACTATCATTACCTAACCCTCCTTTGCAAATATAAGGTCTTTCCACAATGTTGCCCTCCTTTGTAAGCTTATCAATCCCAAAATAAAAGTTTGCCCGAGCTGCTTACACATGCAGAAGCTAGAACTACTCAGACTTTTCTAATCTCCCATTTTACAAGAGCTAAATATCAGCATTACAATGTGAAATAAAATGGTTGCATTCTCTTTTCCAGAAAATGGGCTTCTGTACAGGCTCTGTGGTAAGAAGTGACTTGGAACAGAAAGAGTTTGTGGAAATATCCTGCGAAATCTACAATCCAGAGGTATTTCTTCATCTAATCTTAATATTGCAACAGTAAGATGCCTTTACAAAAGAAGAACTGAGCTCCTGCAAGCTCAGTTTGATAGATATGGGGGCTTCAGGGAAGTGGGAAGGGCAAACAGGTTCAGAAGAGGTGATGCTTGTTGCCTGTTATTTTAGGCTCCTGTCACTGAAGAAGGGGAGCAGCAACCAGACCAGAGACCTGGAAAATCCAGCCAGAGGCATCAAGAAGCTTCCTCTTTAGAAGCCAGCCCTTTTACACCCCACCTAGGAAAAACAGTGGGCTGGGTTAAAGTTCTTCCCCCTTCAACTGAGAACACCTCTTGCCAAAATGCACCAGAAAGAGAACATACGGATAGAAAGCCAGTTCCACCGGAGGCAGTGGAGCCTACAGGTAGCTTCCTAAATATCACTGGCAATCCTGATGGAGAAAAGATTCAAGCAGACAAACCTGATTTGACCAAACTGGTGAACGGACCAGTTATTCTCCCTTTCCCTGAAGAACTTTCACTATCAGACACATGCCCAGGAAAAGCAAAGAAGAGAGATCCCACCCTTGAGACTTTGCTGGCTAGAAAAACTACCAAAGAATAGTCAGCATCCAAGTCACCTCGAGCACTGCAACAAAATGATGGTCACAGTGACCGAGTGATCTTCTCATTTGGGCAACATCTCAAAATAAATTGCTCACTACAGTCTTCATCTTTGCCATTCTCATTTTTAAGAACACAAAGGGATAGATTGCAGAAAGAAATTTAATTGGGGCATTTTCCAACAAAAGAATTTTTGATTAAATTTTCAATTTCCTCTCATCAGTAAGAGCATGAAGGCAATGATAACTGCAGAGAGGAAGCGCACATGCAGGGTCAAGACAGCCCAAAGATATCAGAAGAAAAAGTTCTCAAGAGCAAAAGATGTCAGGAAGCAGCAAGGGCCACCCGCTCCCTGGCGGATGGGGAGCCGGGAGCTGGGCAGGATACCCGGCTGGCGGCAGGGCCTTGCCAGGTGGAGCCCCATCTTGTTGTAGCCAAGTGAGGCAAGCAGAACAGAGCCCGGGCTGGCAGGCAGGTTCGGCCCACAGTCTAGATCACCACATAAATGCATGGAAATGTGGCAGGTCTCAAGTCACATTGGGAACATGAGCTGGGAAGTTAAGGTCAGGATCAAGTGATTACTGATGAAGATAACCAGGACCAGATGCAGCCCAGTGGTCACCCAACAGGTCCAAAGGGACGAGGCAGGCCCAAGGTCAGGCCAGGAAGTCAGCTGAGTTTCACTCTGGAGGAACAGGGCCCGTGGCCCGGCACAGGCTGCGCCACAGCAGGAGCTGCAGCTCAGGCCAGGGCCGACGGCCGGCGCTCCAGCTGCTCCGGGAAGGGAGCTGTCCCAGGCCTCGGAGCAGCCGTGTCCAGGAGCCTCTCTCCAAGGATGCCAAGGTGCAGCAGCAGCTCCCAGCTGAGCTGGCCCTAAGCCCTGCTGGCCAAACCTCCGGGACAGGGATGCTCACAGGGCCCTTACACACTCAGTGTAGCTGTATAAAATAAGGAAGACTTCAGCCCTATTCACCATTAAAAACTAGGGTTCTATTACAGTTTAATAGACTAACCTCTTAATGCTAATGGGATGAGCATAATAGATTTTTATTTCCCATGGAAGACACAAATCTGCATCCCTTACCCTGAAGCTTCTCAAGAAAGGCTGTTTATTTCTGGCTGCTTTACCTGCTCGCTCGCCCACCCACTCGCCAGCATGTCCACTCCTGGCGCATCATTCTGGCTGCTGGAGAATCAAGCCCAGGCTACTCAGATTCACATGCTTTACTAACCCTGCTGTGGAGGTAAAATGACGATTTACAAAATCAGACTAATATTTTCTCGATATAGGTCATATTAACTGCTTTATAATAAAAACCACAGGGACATGCCACAGCCTGCAGGTGGGGTAAATCAATCACTACAGCCAGACAGAGCAGCGCACTGACAGTAACAAATATGAATAAAAGGGAAGAAATGAAGAAGAAGGAGCATGGGACCTGCATGAGGCCACAGATCTGCTCACAGATCCAGACCAGTATGATTCATTTGTTCAAAAGAAAGTCAACAAGATCTTATGGCTTCTGAAGTTGTTATGCTGCTGAGTCATCTGGAGATGCTTGGGAAATTTTCCACTCCAAAAGTCTTTCAACAAAATCTTGCAGTTAAAATATTCTAGGAAATATGTAATTCAGGTAGAAGGTGTTATTTTAGTATTACAAATAAAACGAACACAGTGAATTTACTTTGAATAAAGACAAAATAATACTGAAATATCCTGTGGAAATGTGTTCAAAACAACTATTTTTTTCACTTTGCAAAGCTCTTTGAAGCACATTTTTTATATAAAGAACAATTCAAATACTTCCAAGATTGAAATAATATAAAATGTTAGGACTTCACCTACATGAAAACAAGAACTGAGCAAAAATGTCATTTCCATATCATGAGAAATTTCAACATGTTTTGGTTTCATTCAATTTCAGAGTGGAAAATAACTCAAAAACATGTAATCTAAAATCATTTCTCCCCCAAAAAAGGTTCAATTTCTGTGCAATTCTCAATATCATAATAGCTCTAGGCTGTGTCAGCATTCCCCTCCCTTTTTAGCAAGGCATCGGATCTCAGCAGCTTTTTGTCCTCATGAAGTTTGCCATTTGCCAGCTGAGGCTTCCCTAATGTGACCAGTACATTCTACCTTCCTGTGCAGCGACTGCTGATCTGCCTCATGCTGGAGTCAAAGACAGCAGCCCTCACTACATGCCAGGAGTCAAAGGACGAGAGCATTCAGGAAACAGCTTTTGATGCTTCAGTAATTTCCAAAAAGTCTTTTCTCCCTCTTTCCAGCTGATCTCTATACCATTTCACTTTTGCTTTTTTATAATGTGTCTTATCAACGGTCTGCATCTTGATCCAAATCTCATTATGCCTTGATCTGTTCACATGTTACTACTGAGATTCATGTCAACATATATAAGATCAGAGTCTTTCCCAAAGGGACTACGAGGGAGGAAATCATTAACCACTGGCTACCACAAAGAATACCCGTTTCTGATGGCAGCTGCTCATAATGCTAAACTGAACAGCAATAGCAGCAAGTGGAAAAAAATACAGCAGATTTGGTCTGAACATAAACAGGGGTAGCTAAAGAGAACATATGAAAGTCTGGACTTTGGGATGCAAGCACTCACTTGGGACGCTGTTTGTACAGAGAGGGCTAAGAAATGGCATTTGAATCAGTTCTTTCTTAAGCCTGTATTTGAGGTTTGGTTTCAAAACTTTAAAACTATACCCAGCTGGGGTGTCTGGTGAGATTTTATACCTTAATTATATGAAAGACACAAGCTTTCACACCCTTGGTGATGGCGGGTTAGTAGTGAACTGGCTTGGTATGCTGGTCAGTGTCGATCCATGCGGATGGCCAGCTATGGCACAGGGATTTCACTCTCCAGTTTTTAGTGCCATCTAGGCCATCACCCAGGTTTGCCCTCAGTGAGGCCTGGTGTTAGTGTTCCAGACTAATTCTTTGCAGCACGAGCTGGAGACTAAAGATGTGCCGTGTCTGTGTTTTCTTTGTCCTTGGGGTATACCTGGATACTGTGCCAACAGCACAGTTCTGAAGGAAATCAGTACCAGATGGCATTGATATGCTTAAGAGCAGATAGTTTTTGGCCATTACTACTTAAATTCCTGGCGATCCACCAATGTGCGAGCAGGTCAGCAGTGTGGTTTCCTCCCTCCAGCATGCCCACATGGACAGAGAGGGGAACGGGATGCAGCAGATCTGCTCTCACATCTACTCTAAGCAGTAGCAGACTGTTGGACAAAAAACATAGTGGACAAGACTGCAGCTAATCTTCTGCTTAAAAGCCATACCTAGATAGTGCTGAATCTCTCCAGCTCCTGGCCTGGTCTCTCCACCTCTGGCCTTACTGAGCAACTCAGCTGGCAGTAACATACCCCATGTACCCTTGGTGACACCCAAAATGCTCTTTTATCCTCCCAGCAGCACGGACGGTTGAGCTCTGCTTCCCCTCGTCCAGTGGAGCCTAGTCCAGGCACACACAGGAGCTCCTCCTGCAGCCACTGGACGCAGGAAGGGGGTGGATTCTCACGGACATGAGCCGTGAAGGCTGTCTGCAGGGAGGAGAGAATCACCCAAAGCCCTGCACCTTGCTGCTTTCCCTGACAGCTGACTTTAAACAACACAATTTTTAGCCTGTTTTCTCCTGAATGAATAAAGTTTTAATCCTTTGTTCAGGACAACTAGATGACTCCATAATACCAAAGAGACATATAGCTTAATCCACAATGACTCCTTGCCTTTCTAGAGCGGGTTGGAGGGTACCAATGGAGGCTGGTTCCTGTTCCTGCCTGAGCAAAAGCAGCCCAGTGGCTCCGTTCCCTCCTCCCTTTGCAGTCTGGCTACCTACTGAGTAGGGTAATTCAATTAATTGTTCCTTATGGGAAGAGCTGAAGAGGCAGCAGATGGAAACAAATTAAGATGAGGAAATAGAGTGGCCAAATGTTGAAATTTGTGACCTCTTAGTAAAATACAAACACACGCAGTCAAGAAATCACACAAAGCCCATGATCAACAGACATTTCATCTCACTCAGTGCTATGGCTTCAGCCTCCACATATTGTGCTTATTTGATTCACTTTTCAAATTTATTTCAGTCTTTCAACATGTAGTGATCTTAGAATACTATATCACCCATTATTAACTTGCTTTAGGGCATTGTCCACCTAAAATGTGGCCTGATGTTTATTTAAAAAAACATGGCAATTCCACATGCACAATGTTCTTTATTCAGGCAGAGACAACCAAAAGTCAGTGACCTCCAGGACTGTTGACATTTTTACGAGATATTATCAGACCTTTATCTCTGATTACAGACTAGGCACTAGGAATGCAAGACCTGGGCCGTGACATTCAAAGCTGGATGGATTAGGAGTAAGATACACTGGCTTATTAATATATACTTTGGCTAAGCATTTGTTTAGATTTCAGTTACCCTTCTCTCACTTTCATCCTGGCTGACCCAAATGTTTTATAAAATGGGTTTTAAAAATCTCAAGATAAGATTCAAAAGAAACGGTTTTATAAAATAAGTTATTTTAGACTCTGTTTAACTCCTGATTTCAACACCTACTGTCTGTACACACTCCAAAGTTGATTTTTTGTCTGCATCCCTGAGATTACATGTTAATGAGAACTGTAATTCACATATAATTTATATATTTCAAAGGTAGAGTTTAAGGGTCTGTCTCCACATATAATCATAAACGCAATAAAATTACAAGAGTTGCCAACACTTTCCTCATGTTACTCTATTACAATTTATGAGCACAATTTTCAAGTTTATATTTCAAGAAAAGCCTAACAACACAATCCTCTCAAAATCAAATCTCTTAGAACTTCCTCTGACCCCACTGTTAACACCAAATGTCCTCCTGCAGGCTCTCAAGTCCCTTAGCAAACACACTGATCTTGCAGGAAACATATCCTTAGGGTCACCAACTTAAAATTATGGTGGCTTGTTCCAGGAAGTAAATTGCCAAGAGAAGGATAGTGCAGACAAGACAAGGAATGCCAATACCCTTTTCATTCCCTGCATTAGCTCTGGGAGATATTCTAAGGAACAAGACTTTTGTAAACACATTTTCACACTGCTCACCTGTCAGCTGGCCTCCAAATAGCTTCTCAACTTCAGCTCTGTTTGAACAAAACTCAAGAGACAAGAAGAGATCTTAAGGTTATGAAGCTCCTAAAAGTTTAATAAAAACTGGTGACTGGTAAAGAAGAAAAAGTCAAAAATGGTGCCCTCAGAGAGAGGGAGACTATAAAACAATTCCGCACCTACTCTGAGCTGCCACAGCCACCCAGGCAAGCCACTGGCCAGACAAGCAGAACAGCTCCGAAACAGACACAGTTTGTGCTGCAAATTTACCAGTCAAAAATGAAGCAGATATAGGAGAGATTTGGGCAGGAATGAGGAAGGGGGAAAGAGCCTTGAGGACACAGAGTAGTAGGAATAACGAGCAGAGGAAGTACATTGCAGATATGTATATCACATCTATAGAAACCAGGTTTCATTACTTCTGCTGTTTGTGAGACAAACTGTTTAATTTGCGAAAACAAAGACAAACTTCCTGATAATTGCTCACCACGAGCTTCTGCACCCCTTGTTTGTGGGTGCGGCAGGAACACTGCACAGAACAGGCTGTGCCTGCGCTCTGCAGCAAGCGCCGCACACTGCTCCACGGAAACGCACTGCTATTCTGAACCCCTGCAGCCAGGCCTGGTGACCTAGTTTTGTGGGACAGTTCTCTGCCACCAAGCGATACATTATACAATGCAATGATGCTGTTAGAAGGAAAAAAAATCTTTCAAAGTATCAACTTCATCCTTCTGACAATTTCTATTCTCTCACTGAAGCTAAGGCAAAGGAATCTAGAGTTGCTGCTGTTGCTTTGAAGACCGTAACCAGAGCAATTTTGTGTAACTGTGTTTGTCCCACAAGCAGGAGGTGTCCCTGGCAAAGAGCCATGTAGTTGGGTATTGGCTGCTGCATTTTTCCGTCTAGCAACATCACACCATGGAACTATGACTTCCCCAACATCAAAAAGGGACACAGGTGATCCAAGTAGGGAAAAGTTATGGTGCGATGAAACACGAGACACACTCCAAAGGTCCTGGATAACTCATGCTAAATAACCCGCCCTTAGCTACAGTTCAAAGCATTGCAAAGCGGGATAGAAGAGCCGACCAGAGGTCCATGCTGCGGAGAAGAAATGCCTTGCAGTGAATTAAAAGCAATCTGCTAGTAGTATAAAGTAACAACTTCACAATTTACGGGATTAAAGTATTGACTGTAAACATTTAGCACAACTCTTCTATTTTCTGTGCAAGGCCCAGATTCTGTTTACCCTAATAACGTTTCTACTAAAGATCAAACGATTTCTCACCTCTCCAGAATCATAGAAGCCTGGTGGCCAATGCCTGAAAGAGGAAGTAGCCGAAACCACAATCTCTAGAGGGAGGAGAGCCCAGAGGGAAAATACACCCTGTTTGCCCAAAGGGAAAATACACCCTGTTTACACCTGACAGATCAAACGGGGAGATGAACAAAGACATGGCGTGTTTACATACGTTGTTCCATCAAACCTGGGCACATTTCTGATAAAAGCTACCTAAAAAAGGTTTTGCAGTAGTTCAAAAGTCAGCCCTTCCTGGTCTGAAGCTGTGAGGCAACACAGATCAAAAGAAAGTAAAGAGAAACCAGCCAAGAAGTCTCCCGTAGGAAACTGAGGCCACACGTGTCTGTCAACAGCGGCTCTTGCTAAGGAGCAGGAGCAGCCGGGGCCGCAGAGCACGGGGACGGACAGATCAAACGGGGAGATGAACAAAGACATGGCGTGTTTACATACGTTGTTCCATCAAACCTGGGCACATTTCTGATAAAAGCTACCTAAAAAAGGTTTTGCAGTGCATCTGCCAAGAGCTGGGCTTACACCTTAACCAAGAGATACAATAACCTGGTTATTGCATGTCAGCGTTGTCGGCTGTCTTCTTCTTTTCCTTTTAGAATAAAATTCTGGGTATAAAGCTTTTAAAATACTGTTTTTTTTACATCGGGAAGATGAACTCACTGGGTACCAGACCCTTTTGTTGTGTCTCCCCAGGCTTTTGGGAAGGGGTTATGGACAGGTAGATGTTTTTTGTGCTTACTTAAAATTTGCATGTGTATCAGCTCTCACTGCTGCAACTCAAGTCTTGGTAAATGTCATAGTGGTGAATAAGCCTTTGCAAAGCTCTGCAAGAGAAATGTTTTCTTCACATACATTCCCACTCTTGCCAGCATTCTGTTTATTCAAAACAGCTTAATTAAAAAATACAGAATTTTTGCAAACAATAGATATGAAAAGACAACAAATATGAAAAGATTAAGACTTCAAACTGGATGAAAAAATATACATTGTACAGCCTTGAGTACAACCTGCTCCAGCTCTGCCTTGAGTGCCCATACAGCACTTTAATAATAAATTCCAATCTTTTTTTTTTTTTTTTCCAAAGAGATCAAGGAAAAATCTCTGCATCAGAAACAAAATCTTACTCTCACTTCTGACACCGTCAAGAAAATTATGTGTTACAATGAACAGTACAGAACAGGAAATAAATAGAATAATCAGCAAGCTATAGAAAACTACAGGGATTATGTTATAAATTACATAACCTGATAATTCACTGACTGCCCATCTGAAAATTAAGCAGTATTGTAAGTAGCGAATGCAGAGAAGGGTTGGATTTGGAACTCAATAATGATATGTATATTATTTTTTCTTGTAAGAAGTATTTCAAATGACTTTGATTATTTATGCAGTGCTTATTTCACCTCTTTTTTTCAATCTTCCAGAAGAAAGATTTCTGAAATGTTACATTGAAACGATATAAAAATATAATGCCCTACTGCATCCCGGCAGCGGTGCTCCAGCCCAGGACTGCGCTCCCTCCTCCCAGGGGCACAAGGAGGTTGTGGTTAGGAGAAGCCCGTGAGCCCTTTCCACAATCCCTTCACCTTCTAGTTTTCCAGCACCCCAAACCAATGTACTAAGGGTGTTAGGATACTACCCTGCCTACTCTGACAAATATTTACCTTAGAACCTGTTGCCCCTGAGTTTGTTCCTGCCCTGGCTGATACTATCCGCCTCCACATCCTTCTGCGGCAACACGTTCCAGAAGTTCATTACCCACTGCGCAGAAAAAAACACTATTTTTAAACTGTTTTAAACTAACTTACACTAGATTTGAATGTCCCAAGGCATCATACTGTGAGATTCCTCCTTCAGAGCTATCAGCAGAGAATTGTCAAGTGTAAACTGAATTAACTATAAAAGAAAGTCACTGCTCTGGCTCCACTTGTGTTTGAATGTGATTTCTTAGGAGACATATATGCTAAAAGTCATTTTTTGTAATAAGCATTAATGCAGTGAGGTAGAGTTAAGAGTGATTTCCCATGACATTTCCCAATATTTCTCAAAAATATAAGTCAACTCTGAAGTTCAGTCAAACGTGTGAACCCAAACCAGTTATATAACTACTAGCTTTTTCTGTAAAAGGCTGATCTAATCTCTCACACCAACCAGGACTTGCAAAGTTTCTCATCTGAATGTGGCCTTTTCGTTTTTGGCCCAAGTTTATTTTTTAAATTTTCTTACTCAAACAGTACTGGGTATTCGAATAGCAGTAATTCCCTGGCAAATGATTACTGCCTTTTAATGTTCTAATTTCCTTCTTCCTGCTTAACAAAATATACTGACAAACTCTGTGAAAAGTAAAAATTTTGGTATGTAGTGGATTATCTTAATACTGAAAAAATATCAGAAATTCTAATGAACCCTTCGAAGACTTCTGCAACAAAAGATCACGCAGAACTGCTCCTGGAAGGGTGCAGAGGCAGCTTTATGCCACTTTATGCCACTTTATGCCATGTTTGCCCCTAGATTCCTACCACCATGAACCTATGCAGAGCTGACACAAGTCTGCTCTACATTTTGTCCGTGCTGGGAGCACCAGCTGCTTACACAGAAGCTACAGACTCCCAGCCTGCAAGGGCATCCTGAGCCACATCCCCTTTCCCAATCTGGGAGATCCCCCTGCTTCCCTTTCTCTGGTTCTCTGCTAGTTAAGGAACTGTAAAAACAGGGAAATGCACATAGCCATCATATGACCCCACATATTTCAGCATGTTTACAATTCAACTATTTTTACTGAAAACAGAAGCCAAGCTTGTGTAACACCTGCATACTAACCTGGACCTTCATAATGACACGCTCAGCTGCACATTGTTGGAAGCTAAATATTCTTCATAGTAAAACACTGAATTACACAATATCTGCTTTAAAAAGCATAAAGTAGTTACTTTGATGCATGGGCCAGAGGGTATTGTAAGGTCTATTTTCCTCAAAATTTACTCAATCAACATATAATCATTTACCTCTGCTTACAAACATTAATCCAGGGTCAAGGTAATAGCCTAGTGACACGGCACTTTATATAAAATCATGCCCTTTTAGCATTCATTTATATCGTCCTTTGTGGGCTACTCTGATTTAAAAGCAGACTAATGACTTTATCAGAGAACAGAGAGAAGTGACCTAACACTACAACAAAATGAAGCTTTTAGCTTCAGCCCTTCTTCTAGCACTACTGCAGTGCTCCACTGCCCAAAGCGACACAAGTATCACCACTGCAGACTGCGACACCATTGAAACAGACGCAGGAGCGGCCCTGGATTTGGTCAACAAACACCGCAGAGACGGCTACGTTTTTGGTTTATTCCGTGTTGTTGATGCCTACAAGCAACATATAGTAAGTATCAATTTAAAGGCTGATTTAGACAACACCATGACTTTAAATAATGAGCCAGCTTGTTAAAAGTTTACGCCTTACTGCCTTTAACAGAGCAATGCTAATGTAATTCAATGACCCAGCTCTGATTTACACTGTCTCAGTATTCATTTGTGCATGATTTATTGCATGTAAGCTTGACAACACAGGATGCTGAATGTCCTCAGTTCTTACAGAGGACAGCACGTTAGCAGAAGAAATGCTCTCAACAGTTTTATATAACACCTGAAATTAATCTGTCAGATCTGTTTTCAGGTCTGGGATGTTATATTCCTACTTTACATTCAGAGAGTTTCTTGAATCTGGGAGTATCTAACATTAATTAGATCAGTGTATCCTGAAAGATAGGTATTTTATTAGTAGTATTTTGTTATTACCTTAATTTTGGATATAGCTGGGTAACTGGAAGGAAGGGAGAAATGTCCGTAACAGAGTGGAATGAAGTTTGACTAACCCATTACAAATGATAATTAAGATTCATTTTTCCTCAGAAAAAAAATCACAAGACCTAAGTATTAAGTGTTTGTGGGCCACTAATACTTTTTAGCAGCATATTCTATCATCCTGGCTGTCAAATTCAAATTCTGATTCCCCATCACATGCACTCAAGGGGTAGAATATACTGGAAGTATAAGCCACAGATTCTGATTTTGTGGGGGTTATAGCAGTTTTGTAGAGTCCCTCTCCAAATAAACTGGGAAAGAAACAAAGCTCTGCAAATATCTGGTCACTAATCTCACCGAGGATGGGCATTTCTCTAGGACAGGCTGTCTGGAGAAAGGGGCTGCTAATTAACCAATATGTTCAAGGAAAATCTCAGGAGGGAAGGGGAAACTCCAAGGCTGGCATTTGCCCTCCATGATGCACACCAGACTGAGAGCAGCCTCTGCTCGCACTCCCAGCAAGATGACAACAGGCAGCAGCCATAAGTTGCAGGGAAGCAAATTTGGACTAGACACACGTAAAAAAAAATAAAAATAAAAATAAAAGAGAGTGGTGAAGTACTGGGAACTGCCTCAAGTGGCAGTCAGCTTTGTGAAACAGTCAGCTTTGCAGGTATATGGAACTCAGATGGACGAGGTCCTGAGCGACTCGGTCCAGCTTTGAAGGGGCTTTGCTTGAGCAGGTGGCTGGACAAGATGATGTCCAATGGTCTCTCTAGCCTAAATCATTCGACGAATCTACGCTCATCAGATCAGAAGAGCTTTGATAAGGAAGTGGGGAAGGTACATTAAAGATTAAGCACATCTACTTGCAAGAAAGTTTCTTTCAGACCAAGATTCTTGCATCCAAATGTTTTCTTTTTTTTTTAAACCTGCACTCCTCTTCCAGGAAAATGTATCAATCCTTTACTTAACTTTGGATGTGCTGGAAACAGAATGCTCAGTATTATCTGGAAAACGCTGGGAATCTTGTGAATACAGCGATGCATATTTCCAGGTAAGTAATAGCATCCAGGTAGAACTATATGTCAATAATGCATTAACATGGACATGATCTTTATCTGAACTGCCAAGAAACTTATGTGGCATGAAATCTCTATGTAGGGGTCAGGTTTTAAAATGCCTCATTGTATAAAAAAAAATCTATTGGATTCCTGAGTTGTTAAACAAAAGCAGAAGGTTTGGAAAAGGGTGGACGGGTCTTGTCAAACAAGGACAACTTCATTCAACTAATTCTGTCACAGGAGCTAGACTACATATTCCACTGCTAGCAACAGAAATGAGGTTTCAAGAATAATTTGCTGATAACTAGAGGGGCTCTCTCTATAGGGTTTTTTTTTAAGTCATGTTCCTATGATATTAGACAGAAATGTAAGGGTTATATTTTGTCAGTTTTATGTTAATGAATTTATGATACGACAGTAAAAAATATTAGTAGTGTCAGTAGACCTATGATAAACAGCATAACTTGTCCTTTATTTTGCATTGCGTTGTAGTACTCTGTGATGAGAACTACCTGTCCAAAAACTATTTATTTATAGGAGAGTGGTGAAACTATCACACAGAACAAAGCATGAAGGCCACATAGCAGAGAAAGTGGTGGCTCTTTTTATTAAGATGTGGAAAAGGAATGGGAGAAAAGATTCGTCCACTTTTTCGTAATGATTAATGTAATCTCTGAATGTTTACGGCATTCTAACTTTCCTTGCTAGCTAACGCTATTTTCTTATAAATATTAGAAAGATGAGAATTAGTTTTCCATTGTCTATTTATTAATGCAAATTGAAAATTAATACTCTTGTACAAAGAGAGGCAATTTTAGCTGAAACTGAAATTTTGAGTGGTACCAAATCAAATACTCCATAAATGACCACACATTATTCTGAAAAGCATGCAAAGAAGGCATGTAGTTCCTGTGATCAATGACATCCAATTAATTCTGGTAAATAATCATAGCCACATGTTGTTTTTCTCTCTCAGGTCTTTGGGCAATGTAAGATTGTCACATATACAAGACAGTGGATTAAAAAAACCCAGAAGTTATATGGATTTAATTGTACAGTAAGCCCAGGTAAAATAATCTCTATTGTAATTTAATACGTACTTCAAATGAGCCCTACTCCTAAAGTACAACTTTGCGCGCTCCTTGTAGATGGTAACTGTAACAGATTCATTCATCTGTTTGAAATTTATATTTTATATAATTAAAATGAAATATTAAGCATGAGTAATAGAATTAAAGGTTACCCTTCTCTTCAAAAGCAAACTGCATTGATGTCAAATCATATCACCATTCGAGTCAACCAAAACATAACAAGGAATATGAGAAAAAAGGTAAATTTTGAAAGAAGGCCTCTTTGGGGTGGTACGATTCCAAGAGCAAAAAGATTTACACATTAAATACAGTATATGTTAAGAGTATGTGTTCATATATACTGTGTACATCTTACATAATTTCACAGCTGCCTTTTTCACGTTAGGACAAACCCGTATTTTCAGAGTGAGGGACAAGTATTTCACTTCCAAGAAAACCCTTTCACATTTCAGTTTCTGAGTTCACTTTAAAGATGTGCTGGGTTCAATTCATATGAGTATTAATATCCATTTCAGTATTAGCAACCTCGCTGTTTTCACAGTTCCTCCAGATATATTGGAGTGCGAAGACTGTCCTGTGAAATTTGAAGTCTTAGAAGTCACTGAGCAACACAAAGATATTGCTGCAAAGGCCCTGGAAAAATACAACACTGAGAGTAACCACAGGAGCCACTTCAACGTGGACAAAGTTGAAAAAATTTTAAAGATGGTAAGTGACATTTTGTCCTGTAACTATTTATAAAGGGCTAAATTTTGTGAGCAGCTCCAAAACTGCGGGTCTGAAACTCAAACCCTTCTAGAAGCAAAACTATTGCTTGCAACATCACAGCATAAATCATCTCCTTAAAGTTTACAAACCTGCTTCTGCAAAACTGTGTTATAGAAAACCTTAATTTAAACATGTGAAAGCAAAAGGATATCTCATCTGCTTAAAATTACAGCAATCAAAATGTTGGAGCCTTTTTGGTATTCTTATTTTTGTTTTGCATATGTGTCTAACATAGCATAACATGCAAGAGTTTATTTTCCACTGACCAGAGCCCTCCAAGATGTATAGTCCATGTATAAGACCACAATCCTCCACTCTGTCAGTTAAAGCCAGACATTTTTTCACTCTTGGAATATTCGGGTATATCATGAAGTGGAACAAGCTCCACATCATTTTGGCCCTCTCTTAACTGTGGAGCAAAGCAGCATCCCGAGGGCTGTGAGGGCAGGAAGAGCAGCTACCTGTGCTCTACTTCCTGCAGAACTACTGACTCTGGTGACTAACTCCTCTTCCACCTTTCAAGGATACCAACATGAAGACTCATTCCGTGGGTGTTTTGAAGCAGTAACTTTCACATGATCAGTTTCCTGTTCGTAGATACTGGAGACCTTCTGCCAGCCCATGTGTCTGCTCAGGACACCTCTGTAATGCAGTCCCATGGCTCCTGCCCTAACCCCATGTTGTTCTGGGAAACTAACCGCATTGCCCGAGGCCAACCCCACTTTCCTGCAGCTCACAAAACCGCTCGGAAAGTTGTCAGTGCTCTAGACTGGGGCTTCACCTGGGATACATCTCCATTCTCATTCAGCCCATGGCTGTTTTCAGATTGCTTGGAGTTATGTGTTTCTTCCTAAGCTCCACGTTTTGCAAATAGAGTCTTCACACTTTTCCATCTTTAGCTACAGTGAGAATTAAGATTGTAGCACCAAGAGATTTCAAGGGATTGCATAACCCTTAGAAGCTATGACTTCTGACACAAAGGTGTACCACAAAGTATGCGTACTTTTAACCAAAGTAGTTAAATCTGAGAAACTTGGGTACACATGTATGCCCTTAGCTGTGGACACTTTCATGCTGACGTGAAACTATTCTAACAGTTGAAAAGTAAAATGAAACACCTCTCTATGGATTCTAATAGGATCATAAAGGCCTTCTCTCTAGACATATGGAATAAAACCTTCTTTATGAGTAATGCCAGTGACAAAAGAGAACAGAGCAACCTCAAATTAACTGGCCGA